TCCTCTTGGTCCTGCTACTGTTTCAGTTCCCATTGATTCTACTAGCCCTGTTACAGATAACCTTGATCTCCCTATTGCTCTCAGAAAAGGGAAGAAAAAGTGTACTGCTCATTGTATTTCACAGAACTTATCCTACACTGGACTTTCTCCTTCCTACCGTGCTTTTCTTTCCTCTCTGGACTCGGTGTCTATACCCAAGGGTGTTAGTGAGCCTCTCTCTAAACCTGAGTGGAAGACAGCTATACAGGAAGAGATGGCAGATTTGATTAAGAGTCAGACATGGAACATTGTGGATCTACCAAAAGGCAAGGAGACAGTTGGATGCAAAAGGGTACACACAGACCTATGGCATTGATTACTTAGAGACTTTTTGCAAAAGGTACAAGGCAAGACTTTTTGCAAAAGGGTACACACAGACCAGTTACAAAGATGACCTCTGTTCAGATGCTTCTTTCTCTTGCTGCCTCATACTTGGACCTTGTTTCAACTTGATGTGAAGAATGCTTTCCTAAATGGGGATTTGCAAGAAGAAGTGTATATGGATCTTCTTACTGGCTTCTACAATGATGCTGAAAAGGGAAAGGTATGCAGGCTTAAGAAGTCACTTTATGGCTTGAAACAATCTCCCAGAACATGGTTTGACAGATTCAGAAAGGCCTTGACTACTTTTGGCTACACTCAGATTCAATCCGATCATGCCTTGTTTGTGAAGCGAAGGGGATCTTTGGTGTCAGTCCTAATTGTTTATGTGGATGATATTGTTATCACGGGGAATGACCTAAGTGAGGTTGATTGTCTGAAAAGGAATCTACATAAAGAATTTGAAATCGAGGATCTTGGAGAACTGAGATACTTCTTAGGCATTGAAGTTGCAAGGTCAAAACATGGAATTTTTATCTCTCAAAGGAAGTATGTCTTGGATCTTCTTCAAGAGATAGGGTAGCTTGGAACAAGGCAATCAGTACCCCTATTGATCAGAACCACAAAATCAATGCATCAGAAGGTGAGCTAGTAAAGGACATTGGGAGATATCAAAGACTTGTGGGTCGGCTGCTATACTTGTTTATGACAAGACCAGACATTTCCTATGTAGTAAGTGTAGTCAATACATGCATGCTCCATGAGTCCAGCATTGGGTGGCAGTTGACAGGATTCTTGCTTATCTAAAGGGACACCCGAGCATAGGCATATTGTTTACTGATCATGGATAGTTGAAACTAGAGGCTTATACAGATGCAGATTGGGTAGGATGACTTGATGACAGGAGATAAACTTCAGGAGTGTGCACCCTTGTTGGGGGTAACCTTGTCTCATGGAATAGTAAGAAACAAACAGTGGTGGCAAGATCAAGTGCTGAAGCCAAATACAGGGCCATGGCACATGGAGTTTCAGAATTTCTCTGGATTCGTCCCTGTTAGAAGAAATTGGTGTACAGGCAGAAGAACCTATGATGCTATATTGTGATAACTAGGTAGCAATTAACATTGCCCATAACCCAGTCCAGCATGACCGAACTAAGCACATTGAAGTGGATAGACATTTTATCAGAGAAAGGGTAACTTCTAACCCAGTCCAGCATGACCGAACTAAGCACATTGAAGTGGATAGACATTTTATCAGAGAAAGGGTAACTTCTGGAGAAGTTTGTCTTCCATACATTGCTTCTGATTTGCAGCTCGCTGATGTTCTCACAAAAGGTGTTGCAAATAACAAGCTGGAGCATGATCTACGCAAGTTGGGAATGTGTGACATTTACTCCCTACTTGGGCTTTAGGCCCATTAGTTTATGTTTTTTTTTAAGTTGTGACTGTTCATCTATATTAGTAGCCGCCCTATTAAGGGCATCCTTGTAATATCTCATCCTTTAAGTTAAGTATAAATATAATGAGAGGTTGGCGGATAGGGTTAAATTTTACAATCCTGGTTGACTTCCTACTCTTTTATTCTTCTCCTTTCTTCTTTACTGCTGAAATCTTCATCTTCCTCCTCTTTTCTTTCACAAGAAACTCGACTAAATCTGCAATTAGTGATTTCTACTCATTGTAACCCTTATATTGAAAAATTTAGCATGCCATATCTCTGTACCAATATTTATTTGGATTCACAAATAGTGCAAGTGAGCTTAACCAAGATTTCCCTTTCCTTTCCAAATATCTATTTTCTTTTGGTAAAAGGTGGTGTTTGGTCATATTTTAATTCCTCTCCCTTCTGGTAAGCAATTGGATGTAGATGGATGTATGTTGCGAAGTTTACTCCAGATGGTACAGTGGATAGGCTTAAATCTCGTTTGGTGCAAGAGGGTTTACTCAAACTTGTGGTGTAGATTTTGATGAAACCTTCTCTCTAGTTGCTAAAATTATCTTTGTCCGTGTTATTATCTCTTTAGCTACAAATAATCATTGACCCTTGTATCAATTAGATGTTAAGAATGTATTCTCGCATAGTGACCTTATGGAAGAAGTGTACATGAAGCAACCACGTGGGTTTGATGCTTATGGGGAGTATAAGGGTATGGTTTGTAGGTTAAAGAAGGAATTGTACGGTTTGGAACAGTCACCATGTGATTGGTTTGGAAAGTTGAGTGAAGTGGCTGTGGAATTTGGCTTACATAGATGTTAGTTTGACTATTCTATGTTCAATAAGACTTCTGAAGGTGTCATTATTCTTGTTGTCTATGTAGATAACATTGTCATCATAGGGAGTGATTCACAAGGCATCAGTGAATTAAAGAACTTTCTATTCTACAAGAGAGACTTTATACTAAAGACCTCAGCAAATTGAGATATTTCCTTGGTACAAAAGTTATGAAATCATCCACAGAGATCTCTCTATCACAACATAAGTATACGTTGGATCTACTTGAGGAAACAAGCAAGGTGGGATGTAAACCAATTGCTACACCATGGATCCCAATACTAAACTCGTTTTAGATCAGGTGGAGTTAGTCTCTTGTAGGGAAGCTGAATTACTTAACTATCACCCGTCAGATATTTGCCTTGATGTGGAGGTTGTGAGTCAGTTTATGAGCTCTCACGTGTTCTGCATCTTGAAGCTATGTAAAAAATCATAAAGTATCTTAAGGGATCACTAGGTATGAGGAATATTTACATAGATTATGGTCATTTGATTTGTGTCTGGGTTCAAGATGCTGATTGGGATGGATCACCAACAAATAAGAGGTTACCTACAGAGTATTGTATATTTTTCTGTGGTAATCTCATTTATTGAAAGAGAGAAATAAAATTTTATGGCTAGATCAAGTGCAAAAACTGAGTATAGATCCATGAGTCATGCAATAAGAGAGTTAGTGTGGCTTTAGAGCCTTCTTTGAGAAATTGGAATTCCAATGAAGACTCCTGTGCACTAACACCATGATAATCAATCTGCCATTCATATTGCATCAAATCCTATTTTCCATGAGAGGACAAAACATATTGAGGTAGACTACCACTTTGTTAGAGAGAAGATTCAAAGTGGTAATGTTGACACATCATCCGTGAAGACAAGAGACCAATTATCTGATTTATGGACCAAGGCCTGTCATCGTCCTCATATTAACTTTATCACTAATAAACTGGGTCTATATGATATACACACACCAACTTGAGGAGGAGTGTTGAAAGAACATTAATACGCTCTAATCTCTCTCTAAACAGTTCAGTGGTTTTTTCCTCTCTTCTCTTCCCTTCTCTTCTCTCTTTCTCTCTTTCTCTTTCATCACAGTTTCTTGCTGTTTAGTGCCTCTATAATACCATATTTTACATTTTTTTATTTTTGAGAGCAAAATCGCATTCAGATGAAGCAGCAACCGTTCATTTTCATAAGGGTGTCAGACCCTGATAGCAACTTAAATTCATAATCATAGTTTTCAAGGCGCCAAGGCGAGGCTAGGTGACTGGGGGGCCCCTAGTCGCCTAGGCCTAGGCGACCGCCTAGGCAATGGATTTTTTATGTTAAAAACATAGATCCTAGGGTAGTTCCCTAGGTACCATAACCATATTTCTTTAATAATTATTCAGGATTTTCATAAGAAAAGTATAAATTTCATATTAAAGTATAGAAAATCAACATATTCATGAGAAGAAAAGGAAGAAGGAAAATAAAATTCAAAAA